CCCCAAAACCCCAAAACCCCAAAACCCCAAAACCCCTTAAATTTTATAAAAATTGAGTTAATAAAATTAATTATGCTATTCGGGAAGAAAAAGACTAAGAAGAGCAAGAAGGATAAAAAGAGCAAGAAGGACAAAAAGAAAAAGAGAGATAAGGATACATTACTTACAGATGAAGAGCAAGCTAATCCTTCAGACGGACTTCAGCAGCCAGATTATAGTAAGCCAAGGCCTAAGGGCATCACAAGGTTCTGCAAGATTAGGTATTACCAGAAGTTCTTTAATGTTTCAACTAAGGATGTCATAAAGAGGGTCTTCTTGGCAATGATGCCTTTTAACACAACGCCTATCTTTCCGAACAATAAGCCTGACTTGTATGGACCCATGTGGATTTATATTTGCTTGTCGATCTCAATTGTTGTTTGTGGTCACTTTTCTAATGTTATGGATTTTGAATTCATCGAAAACCATCCTCCGAAAGCTGAATATGAAGCAGAAATGAGAAAGATCACTAAAGGATGGGGAATGACTTCTTTTTATTTCTTTATAGTCCCATTGATCTTACATGGAATATGCTACTTCTTTGGAAGTGGGACTCCTGGATATCAGAGAACCCTTGCCATTTATGGGTATAGTTTTGCAATCTTTATTCCAGCCACAGTAATTCTTATTCCTCCAATGGAGTATTTGAGGTATGCTACACTTGGAGTAGCAGGCTTCATCAGTCTGTTGTTCATTAGCAAAGAGCTCATGGATGCAGGAAAGAGGTATTTAGCTCAAAAATGGGTGACTGCATTAGCCATAATGTGAGCACTTCTGCACATATTCTTCTGAGTTATGTTGAAGTTTTACTATTTTGATTAATAACCATCTCTCCTTGTCAATATTGTTCCTAATCTTTCCTAAAATACCTCGTTATTTTCCAGTTAACTTCAAAGATTTCCCTCCACTCTACTCAGTTCCTTTCCTATTTTCCATTTAAGTATGTGGTCTGATCACAAGATGTTCCTAAAATCGTTCTACATATTTATTCAATTTGAGGCCATAAAGCAGGGGTTTTGGGGTTTTGGGGTTTTGGGGTTTTGGGG